AGGAAATTAACGGCGAATAGCTGTCGCTCAGTCAACCTTAGTTTGCCTTACACACACGCGCGGACCCCTTCCCGCAATCCCCATCAGTTTTTCCTTAATTCCATGAAAATGCGTCTGTTTACTTTTATTCATGAGTGTTGGCCCTCAGCCATAAAATGCATCAATTGAGTCCTAGAATGAACATAACAATGGAACTCACTTCTTCCTAATCTTATTACGAATAGTCCCTTGCATTTCCTTTCGGATGTAGCTTTTATGTATTTGCTTACTAACCACGCTCATACGCTTGATCTACGCTGGTTTTCTATCCCTATTTTCTTCCCGCTTAACTCTGTGCCTGACTTAGTTCTGATGACTTTTTTACTGATCCCGGGAACGTAAGCTCGAGCAATTTTGTCCACGCATTCAGTTTTTTGTTCGCCCATCATCGATCGATCTCCGACTAATCCTAGCCCCGTGACTTCACTCTCATTCAATTATTGAATCACTCTCTACCGTCTATTTTGGCTTGCATGTTCAATGGTGACATTATTCAGGCACTGTCTTATTGTGCCGTCCACGTGCACCACTTTCCGCATTTAATATCGCATCATCGCCTCAGATTCCTGTTTTGTTTGAGGGTCATATTATTTCAGAGAGAGGCTTCCCATTTATTGACCGTCAGGCTGATGGTGTCGCCATGGCATCACCTATTGCATCTCCATTTGCTGATATGTTTTTGGCCAAATTGGAAAATGGGAATGTGATAGACACACTACAAGGAGTACCATTCCAAGTCCGACAACTAGACGATATTCTGCTCAAGGCCAAAACTCAAACGGATATAGAAACGCATCTGAAAGCAATCAGTTTTGCATCCAAATTGGGTCTGGGAGATGGTATATACTTCCTGGACGTAAAACGCACAATATACTGTGGAAGCGCGGTAAAACCGGCATGGACTGGATAACGCTTTCATTCTGCCGATTTCTAGCACTTTAAACGTGAGAGAACCCTGGTTTTAAACCCTTGCTTGTCGAACAAGGAGAGTTAGTTCAGAAGATTTCCCATCTCAGAAACAGGAAATTATAAAGGATAACGGTTAACAACGGTTATCCGAGGAATCTGACAGAACGGCCTCCAACAGCATCACTGACAATAGTGAACAGAAAATAGATCCTCTTAAGACTCGCTTTTCTAGGATATTATGAGTGAGTTACTAAGATGCTGATTAGAAAAGACCATCACTCGTACTCGTAAATCTTGAAGATACATTGCCTATCCTATCCTGATCTACGATCACGTAATTTTTTCGTTTCTCATGTTCGGTAAGTTATTTACGAAGAACGAACCCTGCTCATCCATTACATCTCGTTTTCACATCGTCATTACTCGTTATACTTCAATTACTTCCTTTAAGGGTTAACTTGTGCCGAAACTCTTGTATTTCGTATCTACCCCTATACCCATCGATAAGAACGAAGAGGATCTCCACTTGTCTTCTAAACCCCGAATGTGAACTCAGGCCTTTCCTAACATTTTTCGTTTCTTCACTTCATTAATCTGCTTTTCAGTGAAAGCACTCTTTTGGCTTAAATGCAGGAATTCATCATTACACAAGTTCCGTAAACACAAATATCAAACAAAATAGTTGAAATTTGTTGGTTTATTTGCAAAAGTATGAATTTGCATTTCTACCGGGCAAATGTTTTGAACAAAGATGCTTTCAATTCAATTTTACAAAAAGTCTTTCATTGATTTGACGCTTTGATGGTAACGTTACTCGACTTGTCTCTTAACTTAAACCCACTCCGAGGTTGCAGCAATGTTCATCAACTTAGGTGAAAATCTCACATACATGATTTGACATGTCATTTAAAAGATTGCAGCATGTTTTCACATCAGTATAATGAACAAACGGGCTTTGATTTTCCCTTCCTTCTGATTTGCTATGAACATGTGACATAAAGTTTTACAAATGAAGCGGGCGGGGAGGTGGGGTTGATTGTATGATCAATCAAAGGGTACCGGAGGACACGAAATGGATTAAAAACGTTGGACTGTAATTGCAGTGGTGGGATTCGAACTAGCCCTGTAAACTACTTTGTACGTTCGAAATTGGCTCACAATGAATCAGAAAGTATGCACAGTTGACCTACGTTGGTCGGACAATCTTGAGACACATTGGAGGAAAAATCCAATGTGAATTCATGCTGGTGATTCAGCATTGGTGAAACAAACATATGCACGCAGAATAGACCTCGGAGCTGACACAAGTTGTTCTAGTGACGTTTTGTATATAAAGAAATCATCAAATATTCTCACGTGGGTTTCGCTGATGATTTTATTCACAACCGCCGGCTCTTTTCAATTCGTTAACGATCTCTATCAAAAAATAGGTGCATTACATTTAAATGTGATGGGAACTTGTCCTCAGGAGGATTCAAATTTAATGCGTTTCTGCGCCCCGTACGTGTCACACGCACACGCACATGCACACGCACACAGAGGCACCATGCGTTCGCGAATTCTCGTGGACGTATTTTGACATTTATGGGTCTGATCAGATCAGACACGATGACGTGGTGAACCTAAGCACGTGAGCAAACGCAAACGGTATAGCTCAGATTCATCCTGTACCCGCGTCTGTTTTTCTGGATTCATAAAAAAAGTAAGTGGACCCTTTGTTGGTGGTTGCTAGCACATTTTACTTATCGAACGCTTCTTGTGGATCGGCGTCTGACTGTTGGAATCCGACAGCAGTATACCGATTTTTCGATTATCCCCTCTACAAGCCGATAACATTTAAATTGTAAACCATTTGATACATATACGATCTATTTTTTCCACTAATCAGTGCAAAGTAAATCATTCAAACAGCTGGCTTTCACAGTCCGGCACCATTTCACCCGTTTGGAAACATACTCACAACACACTGAATGTGCTCAGTCCACATCGTCCGACACCACACCATCCAAGTTCGACGTACGATTGGAACAAACGAACCGATAGGTGTAACCGGAAACCTCAGATTGGATCAAACAATGAAATTGCTGAAATCGAACCAAAGGAAGATCAGGCCCGTTCCAACCTGTCGCAACCATTCGGGGCTGGTGTGAATAATCTCCTGTGTTTGTTCCGGAACTGTTCCCCTTTGCTGAGTTCACATCCAGTACGAAGTTTATTACCCGCGGAATTGGCCTCCAAAGTGGATAGTTTTAAAGCGGCCAAACTGTGCCATCTTTGTCTTAAAGTAAGTACCTGATTCTCCGCACAACTTTCCGGCACATTAGGCATTACTAGCCAACGGTATGTATCCATTACAGAAAAGAATAAATTGCTTGTGAACTTCCATGTTTCGACCAACAGAGAGTTGTTTCGTTCTGTTTGAAACTCCACAGGAATGCGTTCCCTTTTTGGTATCCCGACCCCGACCCGAACATTGAACCTTCTTTTGGAGCTTAATTGTCGATCATCAACATCTTGAATGCGTGCCTACATTAGTTCATTTATCATGCTCTTGGCTTCGCATGAGCTACACCGAAATCTTGTTAAATCAGGATTGGATGGCATCCGAAAGGCAGTAGGGATCAACTAACTGAAGATAACGCAGACGACTTTAAAGCCCAAAGAAACAGAACAGTTGAAAAACAATTTATAACTGCTTCATTCATTTGTTGAGGGACATTGTCAGTTTGATCCTATACACCGGGGCACCTGAAGGATAGAGGTGGTGCTATAATATTTTGCCGATTCCCGTAAGAGGGATCAGGAAATTCAGTGTCTCCTTGACTTCTTACATCCCTTGCTGTATTGGGCTCGTGCACAGCTTTGGAATTTGACTAAGTAAAGTAGAACTCATCTCGAATAAACTGTCTGAATGATGCGATTTACTTTTAGCACACCCATGGAGGAAAACTTTTACTTTACCAAATCAAAATTCGGATTTTACTATTGGTTGGAAACGTGACATAAGCAAGACGAATTCCATGCGCCCGTCTATAGGCGTTTGAGAATATATGCAACAAAATAGGGATGAAAACGTGAAACATTTGCTCACCAACCATGTAACCATACTGTTCCTTCTGGTCTCGATACACCCTTTACATTGGAAGAGGACGCACATTTTGTTCTCTTACTGTTGAGGTGCCAATGCAGAAGCTATCCCGTCTAGTTCTGTTCCATTCACTGTTTTATTCTATTAATCTTCAAGTCTAGGTCTCGGTGCCCTACTGGTGACCAAAATTTAAAAGTGGCTGTTTGTTTCTCTCTTCAACTCATTGGTCAATTGTTTGTATTTTGTTTGTATTTTACCCCACAGAATGCCCCAAAAGCACGCCGTGTATTTTGCTCAAGTCTACATTAATGAATTAGGAAATTTAATTATGAAGATTTCAGTTTCAATATAATGGTAGACAGCCGCGGATAATTTTGTGATAAAATTTCGCAGAATGAACCCCTCTTGGGGATTCCGCATGATGCCAGCAGAACGCGAAAATTGAGCCTTTCACTACGCGCGCGCACACACGCATGCACGCACACACCTCTTACTGGTTCAGTGTCAGGAATCGAGCTCAGTACAAATCCCTGTGGAAGAAACAAACAGTATCCCGTAATCCATCAACCGGACGAACTCCAGACAATTGATATAAAACAGTTCCAAACTTATAGAAGATAAAGGCAGTCTGAATTTCTCGCCCATCAGGTTTCCTCTTTTACTGCAAGGTAAGTCATCTATACGGGGAACCATGTATTACGAAGACCCACAATTTCCCGAAAGACATGTGACAAAACTAAGCAAAATATTACTGAACTTGAAGCTTAAAACGGTGAAACATTTTGATGCAACTATATATATATATATAGAGAGAGAGAGGTTAGATTTTATCCGGAAATGCCTGTCAGATCGGAAAATCGAGCGCGAGAAGTTTCGGCCACGGACTTCCTCAACAAATGATTCTGAAATATGGGGAAATAGTCAACTAAAAAGACGTGAACACCATATAATAACAGCAACCAATGCAACAACACCCAAGGCCGGTGTGTCGGTGATTTCGCATGAACTGAAACAAGAACATCTCGAGAATTTCTAACCTTCTGTGCCTGAAGACTTAACGATACTCTGGTCATGCCCGACCTTCTCAAAGTGCTTAAAATGAAATTGGCCGATAGAATGAACTATTTGGAATCCACATTTTCCACTACCAACCTGAAGTTGTTTTTTTTAACGCAAGTACATGACCGACATGCCTCTTTTTACCGACACCGAAATTATTTTTCATGAGGTTCTGGAAATATTCAACGTTAGCGCAATTAGCAAGTTGATTTCACTTGATCCTAAAATGAATCTGCTCTGTTCCTGGTTATTCGTGGTACCTGCCTTCGAAAGACTTTTGTGTACTAGAGGCCAACATAGAGCTCTGAGCAGTTCTTGTCCTCCAGATTGAGCACTTTTGAGTGCCTCCTTACATCTCGGGACTCGGATAGCAAACTATTTGGCTGGTAGCCGGAATCTCGAGTTAATGAACCGCACTGCCTAAGGTTAAAAGCTGGAGTGTAGAACCAACCACATTTCTCTCGATTTGGTCGCGCAGGTTTACAGATACCAAGGTGAGTGTCACACTTCGCAGAACTTCCAGTATCCTCAACGCATACCCTACACAATATTTTAAAACACATTGGAATCTCCAGAACAACGCTGTCCGTATGACATTGTACAGATAGATCAACACAATAATTCTAACAGATTCGTAATTTGTGAACCTCTCAGATCACGGATAGTTCAGTTGTCTATCTCATGATTATTTTCTTTGAAGGTGTAAAATTCAAATTTCCTTGTGTGTTCAAGGTTGAGATTCGTAACTTAATGAACAAAGTGTTTCAGCTCCTTGTTATCACAAGAAAAAGCTTTTGAAAGTGACCTTGAACCAATTCACAAAGTTCAAGTGACTAAGATTGTCCAACACCAGATTGAAAGACTTGTTACTAGAAGATTTTGATCTAACTGGACTATCTGAAGTGCTTGGGACTAAATGGATCTCTTGGGGTTTCGTGAGGACTCATCACAATATGATCGATAAAACATTCGCTCAATTGAGATATTTCCGCTGCCAAAACATCAGTATTTCCCCCTCACAGAATGAAAGATTCTTCAGGAAAAGTTTGCATTCACTAATCTAATAACACCGCTCAAAAGACAGGCTCGTCTGTCGGTGCGTGCATCTCCATCTGTTTGACTGGAAACCACTGCATTGCAATCTAATTTCTCTCTCTCGCTCTGTGTTTCTTTCTGACTGATAACAACGTATTTTTGCGATCTCAAGTCAACTTAGTTTCATGATAGATCTTGTGCACGTGTCCTGTCCCATTCACTCCCAGTTATTCATTTCTTCTGGTGTTCTTCTATATACTGCAACTCTCCACTGAACTATGCGTAGCTATACACTTGTGATATTTTCAGCTATAAGAAATAAGCAACAGAATTCTCGTTTTGCACTGACAAGTCTAGACTATGTCAAACCAATCAGGGTAGAATAATCTTCACAAGAAGAAAAACTTCCATGATTTGTTTGTGGGCGCGATACGGCTAAGTTTCCAAGACCAAAGCAGGTGAGTTTTCTTGAGGAATCCACAATTGCAGTTTCAAGCTAACCGAAGCCCGACCTAAAAGGCAACGGGGCGGAGTGTGAAAACCGCAATTTATTTGGAGTCGTCGTCCAGGTTCATCGGATCACACGTTCAAGGTGCACATTCAAGTAGGTGGCCACTGCTACTGTGTGGTCCAGAATATCTCGTCTTGGTTGGGTTTGGAATCAGGGTTTTAGCTCACGCCCCTAGGTTACAGCCGGCTATAGCCCCGGATATGGAATTCTCATCCTCTCCCGGTGGTGAGAAAACGCATCCGCCAGGGGAAGGCGGTGAGTCGGGCTTCCTCATCAGGGACTGTCTGGTAAACTTAGTAGTATGCGAGCATTTCGCGAGATACAAGACTAGGGTGACCAGCCATCACGCGAGACACCCACCCTAGATGATCATAGTGAAATGAATTTTTCCGAAAAAATAAAGCCAACTGTTTATTTGCTCCTGTGAAATTTTCAGCCTTCGCTGGCATATCCCGTGCTGTGATTTGCTTCATCTCCTGTAATTTGGTTTTCTTCGTGTTTAACCTTGATCGCCAACTGACGTAGACAGTTGACAGTGCCCGCATTAACTAGATGCATATTATCTTGCTGAAATGTTTTTTCCACTATGCCTGAATTTAGGAAAAGGACTGTCTGTTTGTGTATTGTTCTCTTCAAACTGGAATTTTACTCTAGTCTCATCGGCCTAAGCTTTCATAAATCTTTTCAATGACTTAACTTTTAGTAAAAATTCGTTAGTTAATCAGTCCGGTCGTTATCAATAAGCACGGAACCCAAAACAAATGAGGTCAACTTTGCTTGCTGAAACCCACCTAAGCTGCTTCGGATCGATCGGCGAATAGAAAGCATTCAACAGGAAAAGTACCACTGTATCATTCGACAGAAATTAAAAAAACCAAACGATTTGGATATAAAAATAACGTGGGATCTAAGGTCATGCGTTTGACAAAAGTTTGGGCATAGCCCATTACATGCACAGTAATTACATCTCGATGAGTCACGACCACTTTATCCCGTAACTGAGTGTATGTGATTCGCGATAAGGATTAGAGAGTAAGCGCAACACGTTTATGGCAGTTTAAAACGATAAATTTTACAAAGGATCAATTGGACAGCAAAACAAACCGCAAATTATATCCGAATCGAGGTTGTAAGTGAAATTTTGTAACCAAACACAGCAGCGGTGTAAGAAAATGGATAGAGTGAGAGAAAGCAATGTTGCCGTATGTGAAGTAAACAGATGAGACCCGGTTTTGTACTAAACTTCATACCAATAGGTCGTAGTCTCTGTTGTTCCGTGTTAGACGTTCGTCATATTCTTTTGGTTTGAACGTTCACGAATATCCTAGTGATCTGTCGTGTGATTAGTTCAGAAGCAAACAAAATTAGTGGTTTCAATTAGATCAACATCAGCACAAAGTTGTTTTACATGGAAAGTAAAGTCATACTGATTCAATAGACTTACCTTTCTGAGAATGTTATTTGCCTAATGCAGGACCAGCTCGTACGATTGAATGATCAGGCTTATAAACGGAATTTACATTTTGAGAGGTCGTTTTCGTGAAAGTCAAACAAAACAATCAATTGGTATTGAATCAATTCGAAGGGGAGAAGTAATCGACAGCGGATTAATTGTCTATACGGGCATTGATCGTGACTAGGGGATTCTCAAGCAGTTGAACAACCCAACAGAAAACACTAGTATCATATCAAGAAAAAAATTGTTGTAAAGTGGTGGATTACCGTTTGAGCCACCGATTGAAACTGATCGTAAGATCTGGTAGCAACGATATCGCTCAGTTGGTAATCCGACTGTAGTGAAGGTGGATAGTCAGTGATTTGCTGGTATCAGGAAAATTGCGAATCGCTTGATAAGACGTTCAAATGGAGTGAAAACAACACCTACAGTGCATCCTCCCTTCGAACCATCAGTAGGCTGATCGCGCCTGAAGCATACATCGAAACAACGTTAATAATATGCTTTTAGAGGTAACCGCCCAGTACCGGATTGACGTCCAGTAGTAGAATGACGCACAGAAAACGCACCACCGAGCCCAGGCAAATAGAACACGAGTTCGGTAATCTACCCTTCACAAAAAGAAATAAACGTCTGTAAACTCCACAAAGTCGCTTGTTGAGCCTCACTTGAACCGGTAACCTAATAATAGTTGGCTAGTTATCTGATCACCGTAGTTGTTACAAGACTTATAAACTTGAATATTGCTTTCTTATACACAGGCAAATGTCATTCTGATGCTGCTTGCTTATCGGGAGTAATGATACGATCGAACACTAGTCAAAAAGTATTACATTTCATACAGCGCTTGAAGCGTATTGAAGTGATGTATCTAAGAAAAAGTAAATACAAGCCTGTTCCGTTTCAGTGTAGTTCCACGAGGCACATCATTCAAACAATTTCAAGATTGAGACTTGACTACCTTCTTTCCCAGTTCATACTTTTGATCCTGGAGGTCCTTGGTCAAGGAGGTTGGATTTTTATGGACGAACTTTTTAAGTGGAAATGTTTGTGATAACCGACAAAATGCACAGGACGGCTGTTTCATCCCGTTTGAGTTTCGTCAGTACTGCGTTTAAAAACGTTTAACTAATGGAGAATGAACGATTTCCCAAGGAGTGAAACCCACACCCAAGACCAGTAAGTGTCTGGTGCCTCTGAACAATCCGATGGGCTAATCCAAGCTTGATACTCTAAGAACTATATTAAATATTTTTCATTCACTGCACAAACGGTCTATTTGCACTGAGAGAAGATGACTGTCACATTTCACCGATTTGGTAATGAGAGAAAGATAGCGGTTTGAATGAGCAACTGTACATTCTGAGAAAAGTGAGGTCATTTATATCTGATTCTGAGCTCAAATCACGTTTTGCCCAGAAGTCTTCCATCCGAATTTCGCTGAATAAAAGCAGAACGTTACTTGGGTGTGATCTATGAGGGGGTGAAATACGGAATTGTTGCATTCGGGTTCAGTCGCAGTGGGCTAATCCACAGTCAGGTTTTGAACTCATGTCCTCTGAAAAGTTGCTTAATTAAACACTTAAAACACTCACCGTGCACGAATTTGGCAAACACTGGCTTATTGCTCTTTTATTTAAAAAGAAAAAGAACCCATTTATGTATGTGTGCGTTTGTTCTCCTTTGCTCTTTCTTTTCATCCCCGTCAGGAATTCCCGGATGAGATGTCCGTTCTGAGGCATCAGGTCAAATCCCATAGCTTGGAAGAAGAACCACCCGCTACATCCTAACCAAATTGGCGGACAACGGACTGTCACATAACCATAATTTTGTACAGAATTTTTCTGATCAGTTCCAATATTTTCTGTTGTTATCCGATTTTACATAATGCCAAAATTATTTCCTAATCAACGCATCTCTACTTCTCCATCTGGTTATTTATATAAAGATTTTGCCATGGGTTGCGATGTTAAGCCCAACAATATGACTAAAAATATCCAGGTGTTCCTTACAGGACTTCATGCGGTTGTCGAATAAACGAGCAAATCATGAATGGCTATTTACTCAAGTTTACATGAGTTAAGTGTAAACGTCACAATAAACAAACTGCTTACTACAATTTGGTAATTCCGCTCACGGTTGCGCAGCCGTGAATCAAAAGGGTATTTATTCAGTTTGAAAAAATGGTTGCCCATGTTTGCTGTGCATACATTTTGTATTGTGAATTTCTCGGTTCTACGAAGCACAAACGATGGGTTGAAAGGTTTCGAAGTTACTAGGCCCCAGATGAATCAACATACCAGTGCTTGCAACTTTCCTTCAGCCAATACTTAAATAAAATACTTATGAATACCGACAATGTTTTCATTCCTGATTGCATGATACTAATTTGAAGCGTCCATAGGTTCGGTCTGTCTTTCATGTATTACAGTTCTATCTTAAACTAACCCGAAATTTGCGAAAATGCCTCAGAAACGAGGCAATAGCAACTTTGCATTCGGCGAAATCTGCATTGTAGAGTGCATGGTCTCAAATTTTTTCGCTGGTCACTGTAGATGTGTTCATGTGTGTGTGTGCTTACGTGTATTACCGCAACACTCGATTGCAAAGTGAACTGTTGTGCATTCTGACTCCGATGCTAAGACAACCAGTGACTGTCATCCCGTAACAACCACCTCCGTCCAGTATTGATCGACTGTGTCAACCACGTCCATTAAGATGTCCCGAGACCGTCCCGGTCAATGCAACAATTGTCACACGCGTGCAGGGATCAGATGGCAGCTTTGTATGTATGAGTTTGTGCACTAGCGCTTGGTTCAAGCTAAGCAAAAGCGACACCAATGATTTATACGTGTTAACTACCGGTTGGGTTTGGAGTGGTCCAACTAAGAATGTACATATAAGTGGATGTACTTTTTGTGAAGGAGAAGGAAAGCCCTGTGTTAATATTTGTTATAATGTTCCAATCCAGACTAGAACTCGTGACCAACTACTGTATGCATAAATATCACTTGATCCTTGTAAATCTGGTTGTTATATGTTCCTGAAGTAAGACTTGATAAATTATGAAAAGTATAAATTTTACCTTAAATCTGTTTTACTGACAACCTGGTAATCTACTGATAAACAGTCGGCCAATGTCAAACATAAAATTTCGGATGTGGAGATCGCCTAATATGTTCTGATCTCAGCTTGGAGAACCTCATCATCGCATTTTCCTGTTTTAATTTAGCACTGGCCTACTTATTCACATTGTGAGTAGGTAAAATAAAAACGTGGAATTATAAGAAAAGAAAAGCACGGGCCTGTGACTGACAGCACCAAACAATTAAGTAGATTGAAAGCGTTTTTATACAACGATCTGATGAAAACAAATATTTTAAAAAGTGATGGGGTGGGCCTGGAAGATGGATGCTTTTTCGTCCAACTGTGTCCACAAACATTGGTCAGAAAACGGATTTAAGCACTGGGCTCCCCAGGAGCAACAGGATCGTGAAACAGGGACTGAGTTTTTTCATCCGAGCGTCGTTACAAGAGTCCGAATCACAGGTGAAAATACAAGCGCGATAAATTCGATCGTGGTCTGGGAAAGGGACATATTGGCACTCGTTTCCAAGGTCCCAGGAACTGCAAAATCTGGTCGTTCCCATGACCGCTACGAAGGAGCAAATAAGAATACCGTATTAACCTCTCAAAATGCTTTTCGATTATAAATGTGAATATCAAATGAACAAAAAATGCGCATGGGTTAGTGTGAACTTTAACTGCTGCTGAGTAGAATAAGAGTAATTTGACACGAGTGATACCATCCTCTTCTAAAAGATATTTTACGAACTTTTTGGCAATTAATTTATTCTCCACGTGTTTGACATTAGTTGAGCGCCGAACATTTGCTTCGTCCTGTTGAGGACTCGTCAGCAATGCATACTTTGTGTTCCTATCGGGACTCGCTCATCGTGTTGGTTATCAGCCGTGTAACTTGGCAGTAAGGATCTTGACTCCCAATGAGAACGTTCGCGTTTTGAATCCCATCAGGGACGTAAAAATAATACGCACCCCCGACGAACTTCAAGAAAGACTGTAAAACTGCTCCACCCCCTTGATGACCATCACACTTAATTTCCCCCGCTAACAAAATACATTTAAAATTTGGGGAATAAACAAACCTGCATCTAACAACAAAAGAAGACTATGGGTTGTATCCGGTGTTTGTGAGGAATATAATGGGTTAGTCCAAACATAGCATCCCGGATTGCTGATTTCGATTGATATGTTATGGCGTGTAATGAGTAATCCCCACCAGCAGAGAGTTAAGTGAATCAGTGACAACCCTTTAATCTCGGTAGTTATAGACCATGCGAACTTTCACTACTTTCACTCACGATTCTGAACCATGCAATAAACAGTACTTGGCGATTGATTATTCGGCTACGGCATAGAATTCGAATGGTTTATCCTTCGTTTAGCTGTTATAACTTTGAATTCCAATTCCTAGTTATGGTTAAGTTATTGTAGAAGGACAAACAGCACAATGCAAAAGAATACTGAACCACTGATGTTTCATTTTAGTAGACTTTGTCGATTTAACATTTACTTAAATAAGTTGCAAATGCCCTAGTTGTTAACCTCATATGGATTGTACACGAGCAAAGCCAACAAATAGCATATTTAACAGATCACTGAAATGAGCGTCGAGGCAAAACTTCATTACATTTAGGAAAAAATATACGGGAAAAGCATGCACTACCATTTTTTGCTTGATCAAATTTATTTCGAGTTTGCAGGTGGTCAGGGGTTCTAAGCAAAAACCAAAAATGTAAACATAAAAATGCCCGATGTTCGCCTCGGATGTTCTTTCTCTCGTCTTAAATGTCCCCATGTTGTAAACATTTGATTTCATTCCACATAGAAATGATATCTCAGCCACAACTCTCAAAGAACTCATTCTTAAATGCATGCCAAGTATAAAATTTTTTTAACAATAAGTGTTACCACCAAATCGATGGTGTTGCTATGGCTTCAAGCCTTGAACCCGTTCTTCGTGGTCAACATAGACGCAACTGTTTTATCCACACCTATTAATTGCTTTCACGAAGCGAACGGTTCATTCCTAAAAACCGAGAACTTTCGAGGAACTTAAACAGAGCATTGTGGTGCACTGCGAAAATATTCCAACTGCTACCATTCTGAAAGCGGAAGAAAACTATCTTCACCGGATTTTGCTATGCAAGCAGCAGAATGGAAAACATGTGGAACATCTTTTATGATATGAATATAATTATTCTCGTAATATTTGTTCTTTCTTTCTTTCGGAATTCCATCTCCGACGTAGTTAGCGAGATCGCTCAACGAAAAAACAACCAGTTGGAAAAAAATCAAGAAGAGTTTTGCGTGGGCCTACATGAGGAGATTTTGTTGTCCGTTATTAAGACAAGTTCAAAGTTTTATTATGATTATCTGTTTACCGAACCCGCTTCGAAAAATAGTGCGTGTATCTTAGACGAGTCAAGCGTTGGTCCAGTGTCATAATTGCTTGAGCATTTTTCATTCGGAATTTCCCACATGGCGCACCGCTCCACAACTGATTCTCTTGGGGTGATCGTCTTCCAACACAGGCCGCATGGGATTGGGAACCTATCCTCCTCCTGTGCCGTCCCGAAAATCACACGACCGATCGGGTTCATTTATCGATCGGTCGAATGGTCCAGTCGCAACACGGGACCTGGGCTTGCCCAGCTAACCCGAGCGACAAACCACACATGCTTTACAGCCGTGAGTCTCAGACAGGCCCAGTGAACTTCGATTGTGTGGCAGGAGTGCCATCAGTCCATCATCGGATGGACTGGACGTAACAACAAGAGCATTAGAAACCGTACAAGCCGGTAATCAAACAGTCTCGTGTTGGGGTGAGAGATTTTAAGCGCCACAGATCGCGGAATATGATCCGATCAGATCACAGAAAGGGTCAGAGAGAATTTACTTGTTTAAAGTCACGGGTGAGAGGGACGAGACGATCGAAAACGATGGAGCAATCACACTGTGTTCTAAATCCCTCGAGGTTAAGGGTACGTTACCTATGTACCACTTACGAATCTTTTGTCTTACGTATTTTTATTACTTATTCGTAATATAATGGTAAAAGCACGACTTGAAAAAGGCCTTCCCAGAGGGTCGAAACGTTGTTACCAACGCCTTTGCGTTTTGGTTTTGATTCGTCGAGGTTAAGACAAGCTAATTGCCTCAAGATAATGTTGTTTACCTTGAGGGTGGAAAATTCACAAGAGGACTTTGTTTCATTTTGCTTGATGGATGGCAGTCGCGTTTGTCTGTTTCGCGTTGGGTAAAGATTTTGCATTTGACCGTTGGTTCGCACCATAGTGGTTCACTTTGACTGCGAATCAACAATTGAAGCAAAATTCTATCCGGTAGTTTTGGTACGTGTGAACTTTTAAAGCTTGATTTTTATTCGCATGGTCTAAGCAGTTTACCATTTATAGTATTTTTGACCTGCAGAGTAGAGGGTTCGAGAAAACCTGGGGATAAGACGGGACGGTGTGACGTGCATAGAATTGAAACTTCACACACCTCCATATATGCCTGTTGTCTTTATGCAGAATCGTGCTCCATAGGTTTGACAAGGCTGTGGCTTCAGCGAATATTCACCAAGAGTCACCACACTTTCCGTACAGGTGTCGTGAATGGAAGAGTTGCACTGATAGCAGCTCAGACAACTGCAGCCAGCTGTAAAAAGGACAGAGATCGGGTTTCAGCTATTTATTAATAGTATTAT